AGTTCAGTTCTAGTTCAGTTCTAGCTCAGTTCTAGTTCAGTTCTAGTTCAGTTCTAGTTCAGTTCTAGTTCAGTTCTAGTTCAGTTCTAGTTCAGTTCTAGTTCAGTTCTAGTTCAGTTCTAGTTCAGTTCTAGTTCAGTTCTAGTTCAGTTCTAGTTCAGTTCTAGTTCAGTTCTAGTTCAGTTCTAGTTCAGTTCTAGTTCAGTTCTAGTTCAGTTCTAGTTCAGTTCTAGTTCAGTTCTAGTTCAGTTCTAGTTCAGTTCTAGTTCAGTTCTAGTTCAGTTCTAGTTCAGTTCTAGTTCAGTTCTAGTTCAGTTCTAGTTCAGTTCTAGTTCAGTTCTAGTTCAGTTCTAGTTCAGTTCTAGTTCAGTTCTAGTTCACTTCTAGTTCAGTTCTAGTTCAGTTCTAGTTCAGTTCTAGTTCAGTTCTAGTTCAGTTCTAGTTCAGTTCTAGTTCAGTTCTAGTTCAGTTCTAGTTCAGTTCTAGTTCAGTTAGTTCAGTTCTAGTTCAGTTCTAGTTCAGTTCTAGTTCAGTTCTAGTTCAGTTCTAGTTCAGTTCTAGTTCAGTTCTAGTTCAGTTTAGTTCAGTTCTAGTTCAGTTCTAGTTCAGTTCTAGTTCAGTTCTAGTTCAGTTCTAGTTCAGTTCTAGTTCAGTTCTAGTTCAGTTCTAGTTCAGTTCTAGTTCAGTTCTAGTTCAGTTCTAGTTCAGTTCTAGTTCAGTTCTAGTTCAGTTCTAGTTCAGTTCTAGTTCAGTTCTAGTTCAGTTCTAGTTCAGTTCTAGTTCAGTTCTAGTTCAGTTCTAGTTCAGTTCTAGTTCAGTTCTAGTTCAGTTCTAGTTCAGTTCTAGTTCAGTTCTAGTTCAGTTCTAGTTCAGTTCTAGTTCAGTTCTAGTTCAGTTCTAGTTCAGTTCTAGTTCAGTTCTAGTTCAGTTCTAGTTCAGTTCTAGTTCAGTTCTAGTTCAGTTCTAGTTCAGTTCTAGTTCAGTTCTAGTTCAGTTCTAGTTCAGTTCTAGTTCAGTTCTAGTTCAGTTCTAGTTCAGTTCTAGTTCAGTTCTAGTTCAGTTCTAGTTCAGTTCTAGTTCAGTTCTAGTTCAGTTCTAGTTCAGTTCTAGTTCAGTTCTAGTTCAGTTCTAGTTCAGTTCTAGTTCAGTTCTAGTTCAGTTCTAGTTCAGTTCTAGTTCAGTTCTAGTTCAGTTCTAGTTCAGTTCTAGTTCAGTTCTAGTTCAGTTCTAGTTCAGTTCTAGTTTCAGTTCTAGTTCAGTTCTAGTTCAGTTCTAGTTCAGTTCTAGTTCAGTTCTAGTTCAGTTCTAGTTCAGTTCTAGTTCAGTTCTAGTTCAGTTCTAGTTCAGTTCTAGTTCAGTTCTAGTTCAGTTCTAGTTCAGTTCTAGTTCATTCTAGTTCAGTTCTAGTTCAGTTCTAGTTCAGTTCTAGTTCAGTTCTAGTTCAGTTCTAGTTCAGTTCTAGTTCAGTTCTAGTTCAGTTCTAGTTCAGTTCTAGTTCATTTCTAGTTCAGTTCTAGTTCAGTTCTAGTTCAGTTCTAGTTCAGTTCTAGTTCAGTTCTAGTTCAGTTCTAGTTCAGTTCTAGTTCAGTTCTAGTTCAGTTCTAGTTCAGTTCTAGTTCAGTTCTAGTTCAGTTGTAGTTCAGTTGTAGTTCAGTTGTAGTTCAGTTCTAGTTCAATTCTAGTTCAGTTCTAGTTCAGTTCTAGTTCAGTTCTAGTTCAGTTCTAGTTCAGTTCTAGTTCAGTTCTAGTTCAGTTCTAGTTCAGTTCTAGTTCAGTTCTAGTTCAGTTCTAGTTCAGTTCTAGTTCAGTTCTAGTTCAGTTCTAGTTCAGTTCTAGTTCAGTTCTAGTTCAGTTCTAGTTCAGTTCTAGTTCAGTTCTAGTTCAGTTCTAGTTCAGTTCAGTTCTAGTTCAGTTCTAGTTCAGTTCTAGTTCTAGTTCAGTTTAGTTCAGTTCTAGTTCAGTTCTAGTTCAGTTCTAGTTCAGTTCTAGTTCAGTTCTAGTTCACTTCTAGTTCAGTTCTAGTTCAGTTCCAGTTCAGTTCTAGTTCAGTTCTAGTCAGTTCTAGTTCAGTTCTAGTTCAGTTCCAGTTAAGTTCTAGTTCAGTTCTAGTTCAGTTCTAGTTCAGTTCTAGTTCAGTTCTAGTTCAGTTCTAGTTCAGTTCTAGTTCAGTTCTAGTTCAGTTCTAGTTCAGTTCTAGTTCAGTTCTAGTTCAGTTCTAGTTCAGTTCTAGTTCAGTTCTAGTTCAGTTCTAGTTCAGTTCTAGTTCAGTTCTAGTTCAGTTCTAGTTCAGTTCTAGTTCAGTTCTAGTTCAGTTCTAGTTCAGTTCTAGTTCAGTTCTAGTTCAGTTCTAGTTCAGTTCTAGTTCAGTTCTAGTAGTTCTAGTTAGTTCAGTTCTAGTTCAGTTCTAGTTCAGTCTAGTTCAGTTCTAGTTCAGTTCTAGTTCAGTTCTAGTTCAGTTCTAGTTCAGTTCTAGTTCAGTTCTAGTTCAGTTCTAGTTCAGTTCTAGTTCAGTTCTAGTTCAGTTCTAGTCAGTTAGTTCAGTTCTAGTTCAGTTCTAGTTCAGTTCTAGTTCAGTTCTAGTTCAGTTCTAGTTCAGTTCTAGTTCAGTTCTAGTTCAGTTCTAGTTCAGTTCTAGTTCAGTTCTAGTTCAGTTCTAGTTCAGTTCTAGTTCAGTTCTAGTTCAGTTCTAGTTCAGTTCTAGTTCAGTTCTAGTTCAGTTCTAGTTCAGTTCTAGTTCAGTTCTAGTTCAGTTCTAGTTCAGTTCTAGTTCAGTTCTAGTTCAGTTCTAGTTCAGTTCTAGTTCAGTTCTAGTTCAGTTCTAGTTCAGTTCTAGTTCAGTTCTAGTTCAGTTCTAGTTCAGTTCTAGTTCAGTTCTAGTTCAGTTCTAGTTCAGTTCTAGTTCAGTTCTAGTTCAGTTCTAGTTCAGTTCTAGTTCAGTTCTAGTTCAGTTCTAGTTCAGTTCTAGTTCAGTTCTAGTTCAGTTCTAGTTCAGTTCTAGTTCAGTTCTAGTTCAGTTCTAGTTCAGTTCTAGTTCAGTTTCTAGTTCAGTTCTAGTTCAGTTCTAGTTCAGTTCTAGTTCAGTTCTAGTTCAGTTCTAGTTCAGTTCTAGTTCAGTTCTAGTTCAGTTCTAGTTCTAGTTCAGTTCTAGTTCAGTTCTAGTTCACTTCTAGTTCACTTCTAGTTCAGTACTACATTTTAAGTAAAACAAAATTCGATATAATTTTATGAATATTTATAATTTATCTCAAGCAAGGAAGCGAGTATTTATTTGTAACAACTACTACATATTACAAAATATAACAAATGCTAAGAAGAATGCAAGTGTCTATTTCGCATAAGCACATGAACACTTATTAATTGAAGGTCATATGTTTGCGTCCAAATCTTGGACGATCTGCCTCAGTTTCGGATGTGACAACTTGTAACGAACGTTGAGCATATGACTTTTCAGTTTCAATTTCTCGCTGAGAAAGATGAGACTGTTGATTTTCCAAAACGACCATGTTTAGGTTAGAAAATGAGCTTGAAACTTCATTGATGTCATTACGTCTAGGAGACATATTGTTATTATACGACTCTTGACAATTACGTTGCATAGAGATGTCCAATTGGTGATGGGGTTCTACCATTTCCAGGGAATTCACAGAGTCACTAGGACGTGGTGAATAAAGTGGTATGTCTGTCGACTCATCTACCTGACTATGTATAATGTTATCAGTAGTTTGATTGCGTGGTGAAAATTGCACATGTTCCGCTGCATCTGAGGACTTGAAAGAGTTTTCTTCCTCCTGTATAAACATTTTTAACTTTTCGCTTGAATTTGCTACATTTCCCAAGTGTGTTGCCCTTATTTCCAAGAATTCTTCATGCTTTTTCATTATCTCATTTAAAGATGTTTTTATTAAGAGATGCTCCTCCATAAGAAACTGCTTGAGTTTATTGCAACGCTTTTTATGCTCTTGCTGCCAGATTTCCTCATCGCATTGTAGATGATGCTTGGCCTCGGATTCGTACATGCATTCAATTTGTGAAAGTTTTTGATTTTCCGCCTCCAATTGTTGCTTCAACTCTTGCTCAAATTTCTTTAAGATTTTAGAGTTTTCAACATAATCCATAGATCTCTCCAAAATACTTAAGCAAAGCTTTATTTGATTACGAAATACTTCCGATCTATTGCGCATTAATATTTTTATCTTATATAAATTAAACGAATTGCCAATATCGTTGGATTTAGTTAAAACGGAATATGATTGTTCCAATAACTCCAACTCTTTTTCCAATTCAGTTAAGTTGGCTTTTAACTGTTGTTCTTTACCCTTCAGATCGTCAATCTCATTTTGCTGTTCTCTTAGTTGATCCATGTGATACTCCTGTAAGCAACGTATTTCTTGTATTTCTTTCTCTTCAGTTTTATTGCGTTCATGGTGTAAATTTAGTTGTTTCTCTTTAGCCGCCTCTTCTTCCATTTCACGCTGCAACTGGTGATCCACTACTTCATAATCACTCTTCGATTCATAAATCAAGTTGTCATCATCTACTCCATGACGCCATTTATCATAGAGTTTAGCATCCAACTCCAATTTACGTCTCATTTGCTGTTGTTCCCTTAAATTTTCATCAATATTCTCTAGGGTTTTGGAATCTAAATTTCTACGGGAATTCCTATCCCTCTCCTTATCTTGCAATTCCTGTTCAAAGCTTTTCTTTTCCATTTCTAGGAGTTGTCCGAGTTTTTGTCTTCGTTCGGCTAAAGTTTGCAGATGTTGCTCGGCTTGCTTGTGGTACTTGGGTGTAGTTTGATCACTTTATTGACCGCTTCTTGCAAATATGAGAAAAAGAAAAGAAAATTATTAAATTGTTTAATTAAAAACCATTAATTTTTGAATATTTTAAATAAGGCTGAACTAAATTAATAACAAAAATTGTGCAATCGTTTAAAAACCTTCTAGTTCAGTTCTAGTTCAGTTCTAGTTCAGTTCTAGTTCAGTTCTAGTTCAGTTCTAGTTCAGTTCTATTTCTCGGTGAGAAAGATGATTCTGTTGATTTCCCGAAATGTCCAAGTTCATGTTAGTAAATGATCTTGAGACTTGATTGTCGTTATGGCTTGGAGACATATTGGTATAATACGAATCTTGACAATTATGACGTATGAAAGTGTCCACTTGGTTATGAGGATCATACATTTTCATGGTATGCACACGGCCAATACGACGTGGTGAATAAAGTGGTGTATTGGCTGATTCATCCTGGCTCTTTTTAATATGGTAAGCAGTTTCGTATCGTGGTAAAAATTGCATATTTTTTTCAGCATCTGAAGATGTACAAGCATAATAGCGTGCTGGGTTCTCTTTATCCTGTATTAAAATTTTTAATTTCTCGCTGGAGTTTTCTATGTTTCCCAAGTGTGTAGCCCTTATTTCCAAAAATTCTTCATGTTTTCTCATTATCTCATTTAAAGCAGTTTTTATTAAAATATGCTCGTCCATGATAAACTGCTTGAGCTTTTCGTAACGTTCTTTATTTTCTTGCTGCCAGATCTCCTCGCTGTACTGTAGGTGATGCTTGATTTCGGAATCATGCATGTTTTCAAGTTGTGAAAATTTATGATTTTCCACATCCAATTGTTGATACAACTCGTCCATAAAATTATTTAATATTCGTGAGTTTTCAGCAAATTTCGTAGATCTCTCCAAAATACTTAAGCAAAGTTTAATTTTATTACGAAATACTTCCGATCTGTTGCGCATCAATATTTTTACCTTATATAAGTTAGATGCATTGCCAACATCGATGGGTTTACTTAAAACGGGATAGGATTCTTCTAACAACTCCAGCTCTTTTTCGAATTCATTTAAATTGGCTTTTAACTGTTTTTCTTTTTCCTTCAGATCATCAATCTCCTTTTGCTGTTCTCTTAGCTGATTCATGTGATACTCTTGAAAATAACGTATTTCTCCTATTTCTTTGTCTCTAATTAGTTCTGTATCATCTTGCAGTTCTTCAGTTTTTTTGAGGTCATGGTGTAACTTTAGTTGTCTCTCTTTAGCCGCCTCTTCCTCTTTTTCATGATGCATCTGGTGGTCCATCTGTGTGTCCAACCAATTTAATTCAGCATATGCTTCATTATCACTCTTCGATTCAAATACAAAGTTGTCATCATCCACGCCATCACGCCATTTACCATAAACTTTGGCATCCAACGCCAATTTACGTTTCATTTCATGTTGTTCCTTCAAATTTTCTTCAATATTCTCTAGGGTATTGGTATCTAAATCTAGAAATTCCTGCTCATAGCTTTTCCTTTCCATTTTTAGCAGTTGTCCCAGTTTTTTAGGTCTTTTGACTGAATTCTGTGGTTTCACTTTTGGCTGCAGTGTAGTTTGCAGTTGTTGCTTCGCTTGCTTGTAGCACTCGTGTGTAGTCCAGTTTTCAATGCGGGGCTGTTATTACTTTTTCTTAAAAACGTACTAAAGAAAAGAAGAAAAAAAATTTTAATTTTTTATTTGAACACCATTATTTTTTGAAATGTTTCAGTTCTAGCTTAGTGCTAGTTCAGTTATAGTTTACTTTTAAGTTAGTTCTAGTTCAGTTCTACAGTAGATTTATTTCGTCTTCTGATATTATGACAACAATTTAAATAAAACAAATTTCGCCATATTTTTATTAACATTTATAATTTAACTCAAGCAAAGAAGCGAGTATTTATTTGTGACAATACGAACGAATATAAACTACATACTACAAAATTTACGAAATGCAAATAAGAATGCATATTTTCTTTCGCACAAGCGCTGGATTACATTTTAATCAAAGTCCACATGTTTGCGACCAAATCTTGGACGATCTTCCTCAGTTTCGGGTGTAACAACTTGCAACGAACGTTGGGCATATGACTTTTCAGATTCTATTTCTCCATGAGAAAGATGAGTCAGTTGATTTTCCGAAACGTCCAAGTTTAATATAGTAAATGATTCTGAAACTTGATTGATGCCCTTATGTCTAGGAGACATGTTGTTATCGTACGACTCTTGAGTGTTATGACGTATGGAACTGTCCAATTGGTGTTGAGGATCATCCAGTTCAAGGGTATTCACAAAAGTACTGTGACGTTGTGAATAATGTGGTGTATTATTTGCTGACTCCTTCTGGTTTTTTATAATGTGTCGTGCTGAAAATGGCACATGTCTTGCAGCATCTGAAGACGTACAAGCGTGGTTGCGAGATGATTTCTCTTCGTCCTGTATTACAAATTTTAATTTCTCGCTGGAATTTTCTATAATTCCCAAGTGTGTAGCTCTTATTTCCAAGAACTCTTCATGTCTTTTCATTATATCATTTAAAGAAGTTTTTATTGAAAGATGTTCTTCCATGATAAACTCCTTGAGTTTCTCGTAACGTTCTTTATTCTCTTGCTGCCAGATCTCTTCATTACACTGTAGATGATACTTGCCTTCGGATTCATGCATGTTTTCAAGTTGTGAAAGTTTATGTTTTTCCACATTCAATTGCTGATTCAACTCGTCCTTTAAATTGTTTATTATTCGTGAGTTTTCAGCAAATTTCGTAGATCTCTCCAAAATACTTAAGCAAAGTTTAATTTGATTGCGAAACAATTCCGATCTGTTGCGCATCAATATTTTAACCTTATATAAGTTAGAAGCATTGCCAACATCAATGGGTTTACTTAAAACAGAATAGGATTCTTCCAACAGCTCTAGTTCTTTTTCCAATTCAATTAAATTTGCTTTTAACTGTAGTTCTTTTTCCTTCAGAACATCAATATCCATTTGCTGTCCTCTTAGCTGATTCATGTGATACTCTTGCAAATAGCGTATTTCCCCTATTTCTTTCTCTCTAATTAGTTCTCTCTCTTTTTGTTGTTCTTCAATTTTATTGACTTCATGGTGTAATTTTAGCTGTCTCTCCTGGTGGTCCACTTGTTTGCCCAACCAATTATGTTTAGCCAATACTTCATTATCACTTTTCGATTCAAATACCAAGTTGTCTTCATCCACTTCATCACGCCATTTGCCATAGAGTTTGGACTCCAGCTCTAATTTACGTCTCATTTGATGTTGCTCCTTCAAATTTTCATTGATGTTCTCTAAGGTCTTGCTATCTAAATCGTGCAATTCCTGCTCGTAGCTTTTATTTTCCATTTTTATGATCTGTCCGAGTTTTATTTTGTTTTGGTTCTGTTTTTGTTGCAGTCGTCTTGCAAATATGTCAACTTTAAAAAAAAAAAACGAACTGGAGAAAAGAAGAGAAAAAAATTAAATTGTTTATTTAAATATTTAAACACAGTTATTTTTTTTATTTTTTATAGGGAAAAATAAGGCTGAATTAAGTTATACACAAAAAATTGTGGAATCATTTCAAAACCTTAAGTTCTGCTCTAGTTTAATTTTTGTCCAAGTCTTGTTCAGTTCACTTTTTGTGTAGTTCTAGTTCAGTTCTTGTTCAGTTCTAGTTCAGTTCTAATTCAGTTCTAATTCAGTTCTAGTTCAGTAGTAGTTCAGTTCTAGTTCAGTTCTAGTTCAGTTCTAGTTCAGTTCTAGTTCAGTTCTAGTTCAGTTCTAGTTCAGTTCTAGTTCAGTTCTAGTTCAGTTCTAGTTCAGTTCTAGTTCAGTTCTAGTTCAGTTCTAGTTCAGTTCTAGTTCAGTTCTAGTTCAGTTCTAGTTCAGTTCTAGTTCAGTTCTAGTTCAGTTCTAATTCAGTTCTAGTTCAGTTCTAGTTCAGTTCTAGTTCAGTTCTAGTTCAGTTCTAGTTCAGTTCTAGTTCAGTTCTAGTTCAGTTCTAGTTCAGTTCTAGTTCAGTTCTAGTTCAGTTCTAGTTCAGTTCTAGTTCAGTTCTAGTTCAGTTCTAGTTCAGTTCTAGTTCAGTTCTAGTTCAGTTCTAGTTCAGTTCTAGTTCAGTTCAGTTCAGTTCTAGTTCAGTTCTAGTTCATTTCTAGTTCAGTTCTAGTTCAGTTCTAGTTCAGTTCTAGTTCAGTTCTAGTTCAGTTCTAGTTCAGTTCTAGTTCAGTTCTAGTTCAGTTCTAGTTAAGTTCTAGTTCAGTTCTAGTTCAGTTCTAGTTCAGTTCTAGTTCAGTTCTAGATCAGTTCTAGTTCAGTTCTAGTTCAGTTCTAGTTCAGTTCTAGTTCAGTTCTAGTTCAGTTCTAGTTCAGTTCTAGTTCAGTTCTAGTTCAGTTCTAGTTCAGTTCTAGTTCAGTTCTGAGTCGATTTAGCTACCCAGCAAAAATAAAGCGAAGTACTTCCAAAAGAATAACATTTATCACCACTTCAAAAGTAGCAATTAGTGAATTTTTTTACCTTCTGTGGAAGCCATTCCGAAGAAGCGAAAATAATTATATTTTTTCAATGCTGAAGATAATTATTTTGTTCTTACATTTTGTAAGATAAAAAATTTTATTTTGGGGCTTCTGTTTTAAATGTATCTATTACCCCTATTAATGTTAATATTATTTAAGTCAAATTAGTTGTATTCCATAACAATACAATTTCACTTCCGAATTACTTCCAAAAAAAGGGTATGACAATTACTTCTTAAGAATGACTTCAGAAGTAGTGAATTTGGAATCAAATAAAAAGGACAGCCCTCCTATGACAAGCCTGTGTTAAAATCATCACTTCTTCAAGTGTTTTTCAGTACTTCCATGGAGTAAATTCTACTTCTTTCTCGCTTCTTTGGAAGTTCTTCTTTTGCTGGGTATGTCCGTCTGTCTGTCTGTCTGTCTGTCTGTGTAAAACACGCTCACGTTTAAACTAATCAAAAGAAATCAACCAAATTCACCCAAAATATTTATTGTTATCCTAAGCAGTTTGGTATTGAAAATCAGCAAAATCGGTAAAAGTTATGAGTAAAAAATTCAGACTACCTTCATTACCAAATAAATTTATCTTGATAAAATTCGACACAAATATGTTTTGTGTAGATATGAATCACTCTACGGAATTTTTCCGGATATGCCCGCAATTGGTTATAGCTCATATATAAAGACTACTTTCGAAAATCACCTAAACGCACATATTTCATTAATTAATAAATCTATTAGAGTAAAATTCGACTTTTTTGCATATAAATCATTATACGAAATGTTTTCCTTATCGGTCCATAATTGGTCACAACTCCCATAAAATGACCATTTCCGAAAATTACTTAAATGCACATTGACAATCCAAGCTATCGGGATAAAATTCAACATAAATGTGTATTTTGTATATATAAATCATTTTACGGAATTTTTCCGGATCGGTCCATAATTTCTCTTAGCTCCCATATAAGGTTTACTTCTGAAAATCACTAATATCAATTAATTCTTTATTAAATGATTATATCCGAATTAAATTCGACATCATTATGTTCTGTGTATAGATAAATAATTGTATTAAAATGTTTTCGAACTGGCCGATTAATAGTTCGACATATGCATACATGTTAATACCCTCAATACGGAAACAAAAATTTTGTCAAGTTATCTTAAAATTATATAGTAAAATGGCACTATAACTTGTTTTAGTTGAGTTTAGTTCTACTGTAGATATTTTTCTTCTTCTAGAATTATTACAATAATTTAAATAAAACACAATTCACTATAAATTGATTAACATTTATAATTTAACTCAAGCAAAGAAGCGAGTATTTATTAGTAAGAATATGAATATAAATTTATCTCAAGCAAGAAAGCGTGTACTTATTAGTAACAATAAGAATGACTATAAACTACATACTACAAAAAAACATATACGAAATGCAAATAAGAATGCATATTTTCTTTCGCATAAGCACAGGAGCACTTTCTAATCGAAGGCCATATGTTTGCGACCAAATCTTGGACGATCTGCCTCCGTTTCGGATGTGACAACTTGCAACGAACGTTGGGCATATGCCTTTTCACATTCTATTTCTAGGTGAGAAAGATGAGTCTGTTGATTTTCCGAAACATCCAAGTTTAAGTTAGTAACTGATCCTGAAACTTGATTGACGTCGTTAGGTCTGGGAGACATATTGTTATCGTATGTCTCTTGACAATTATGACGTTTGGAACTGTCGAATTGGTTATGAGGATCATCTAGTTCCAGCGAATTCACAGAGCCACTACGTCGTGGTGCATAAAGTGATGAATCGCCTGACTCCTCTACCTGACTATGTATAATGTTGTTAGCAGATTGATGTCGTGGTGAAAATTGCGCATGTTCCTCCGGTTTTAAAAATTTTAATTGCTCGCTGGAATTTTCCATATTTCCCAAATGTTTAGCTCTTATTTCCAAGAATTCTTCATGTGTTTTCATTATCTCATTTAAAGAAGTTTTTATTGAAAGATGCTCGTCCATGATAAACTTCTTGAGTTTATGGTAACGTTCTTTATTCTCTTGCTGCCAAATCTCCTCGCTGTGCTGTAGATGATGCTTAATGTCGGACTCATGCATGTTTTCAAGTTGTGAAAATTTATGATTTTCTACATTCAATTGTTGATTCAACTCGTCCTTTAAGTTGTTTATCATTCGTGAGTTTTCAGCAAATTTCGTAGATCTCTCCAAAATACTTAAGCATAGTTTAATTTGATTACGAAATACTTCCGATCTGTTGCGCATCAATATTCTGACCTTATATAAGTTAGAAGCATTGCCTACATCAATGGGTTTACATAAAATGGAATAGGATTCTTCCAACAGCTTCAACTCATTTTCCAATTCATTTAAATTGGCTTTTAACTGTTTTTCTTTTTCCTTCAGATCATCAATGTCTTTTCGCTGTTCTCTTAGCTGATTCATGTGATACTCTTGCATATTGCGCATTTCACGTATTTCATTCTCTCTAGTTAGTTGTCTCTCTTCCTGTAGCTCTTCAGTTTTATTGTGTTGTCTCTCTTTAGCAGTCTCTTCCTCTTTTCCATGCTGCAACTGGTGGCCATTCTTCGATTCAAATACCAAGTTGTCATCATTCACTCCATCACACCATTTGCCATAGAGTTTGGTCTCCTGCTCCAATTTACGTCTCATTTGTTGTTGTTCCTTTAAATTTTCCTGCTCATAGTTGTTATCTTCCATTTCTATGCCTGTGTTCGTTTTCAGGTTTTGTTGCAAATATGTAATCTTTTTTTTTAAAGTACTGGAGAAAAGAAAAAAAATTAAAATGTTTATTTAAACACCATTATTTTCTGAAATTTTTAAATAAGAGAAAGTAAGGCTGAATTAAATAATAAACAAAAAATTTTGCAATCATCTCAAAAGTATAAATTAAGCTCTAGTTAAATTTGTGTTCAGTTCTGGGTTTGTTCAATTCTTCAGTTCCGTTCTAGTTCAGTTCTAGTTAAGTTCTAGTTCAGTTCTAGTTTAGTTCTAGTTTAGTTCTAGTTCAGTTCTAGTTCAGTTCTAGTTCAGTTCTAGTTCAAAATTGTTTACGCCATGTATTATTTTATTTTAAATAAAACTAATTTAGCAAAAACTTCGTTAAGATTTTTGATTTAGCTCAGGCAAGGCAGTGAGTATTTATTTGTAATAATGAAAATATAACTACTAATCTAATTTTCTAAATTCAGTCCAAAATATACTAAATGCTAAGGCAATGCTAATGTTTTCTTTCGACAAAGCACTGCAAGTCTTTCTAATTCCAAGCCACACGTTTGCGACCAAATCTTGGTCGTTCTGCTTCAGTCTCGGGTGTGACAATTTGTAATGAACGTTGGGCATTTGTCTTTTGAGATTCTATATCTCGCTGAGAAAGATGAGCCTGTTGACTTTGCCAAACATCCAGGTTTAAGTTAGCAAATGATCTTGAAACTTGATTGATGTCGTTTTTTCTAGGTGACATATTGTTATTATTCGACTCATAACAATTACGACGTGAGGAAAAGTCCACTTGGTGATGAGGTTCTTCCAGTTCCAAGGATTTCACAGAGGGACAACGTCGTGGTGAATAAAGTGGTGTATCGTTTGACTCCTCTAACTGGCTATGTATGATATTGTTAGTACTATGATGTCGTGGTGAAAATTCCACTCGTTTAGCTGCTTCCAAGGATTTGCAAGCTTGGTAACGTGGCGAATTTTCTTCCTCTTGTATTAAAATCTTTAATTTCTCACTGGAATTTTCAATAATTCCCAAATTTGTAGCCCGTATTTCCAAGAGTTCTTCATGTCTTTGCATTATTTCACTTAATGAAGTTTTTATTAAAAGATGTTCCTCCAATAGCATCTCTTTCAGTTTCTCGTAACGTTCTTTATGCTCTTGCTGCCAGGTCTGTTCGTTACACTGAAGATTATACTTGGCCTCGGATTCATACATGCCCTCAATTTGTGAAAGTTTTTGATGTTCCGCTTCCAATTGCTGCTCCAACTCCCTCTTGAAATTTTTTAATATTTGTGGTTTTTCAGCAAAATCTATAGATCTTTCCACAATACTCATGCAAAGTTTAATTTGATTACGAAATACTTCTGATCTCTTGCGTATGAAAATCTTTATCTTATTAAAGTTATGAGCATCACCATAATCAACTGCTTTACTTAAAAAGGCATAGGATTCTTCTAGTAACTCCAGTTCTTTTTCCAAATCATTTAAATTGGCTTTTAACTGTTTTTCTTTTCCCTTTAGATCATCAGTCTCTTTTTGCTGTTCTCTTAGCTGATCCATGTGATACTCTTGCAAATAACGTATTTCTCGTATTTCTTTCTCTCTAATGAGTTGTCTCTCTTTTTGCAGCTCTTCAGTTTTATTGAGTTCATGCTGTAATTTTATTTGTCGCTCTTTAGCCGCCTCTTCCTCCTTCTCACGCTGCAACTGCTGATCCACCTGTTTGTCCAACCAATTAAGTTTAGCCAATACTTCATTATCACTCTTCGATTCAAATAACAAATTATCATCATCCACTCCATGGCGCCATTTACCATAAAGTTTGGCCTCCAACTCCAATTTACGTCTCATTTGCTGTTGTTCCTTTAAATTTTCATCGATTTTCTCTAGGGTCGTGGTATCGAAACTTCTTCGTGGATTCCTATTTCTTTCCTTTTCTTGCAACTCCTGCTCATAGTTTTTCTTTTCCATTTCTAGCAGTTGTGAGAGTTTTTGCTGTCTTTCAGCCAAATTCTTTTGTTTCTCCTTTTGCTGCTGCGTAGTTTGTAATTGTTGCTCGGCTTGCTTGTAGTACTCGGGTGTTGTCCAGTTTTCAAAACGGGCTGTTACTTTACCCCAATGATCGTAATATTTATTAACCGCTTCGGTGCGTTCAATGCGATTATGTTCGTTTTCACGACGTCTTGCAAACAAGGCTTGCAAGTGGGCCGATTTTGTGGACATTTCAGAATGGTAAACTTTTCTAAAAAAAAAGGACTGGGGAAAAGGAGAGAAAATATTTTGTTTAATTGAAAACAATTAGTTTTTGAAAATTTTAAAGAAGGGGAAAATAAGAACAGATATAAACAAAAAATTCGAGACCCTAGAGAGAATAAGTTATAGTTCACTCTATTTCAGTTCTAATTCAGTTCTAGTTCAGTTCAAGTTCAGTTCTAGTAAAGTTCTATTTCAGTTCTAATTCAATTCTAATTCAGTTCTAGTGCAAATATTTATAAATAACATTTCTGATTATTTTTTAAGAAAACAAAACGTTTATAATTTCATATCAACATCCTCAAAACATCTCGGTTAGATTAGTAATGTTATATTATAAATTAAAGTCACAAACTGGAATAAAAATCCCAGATAAAATATTCCTGCCTAACATATTTAAAATGTAAATAATTTGTAGTATTAAAGTGATTGTAATATTAAAATATTAATACAGTTGTTATTTAGAAACCTTCGTTAAGAATCATGAAATTATTACTGACGGTTTTAGCTATTTTTTACTGAAAGTGTCTGAAAGTGTCTAAAATGTATTAATTATTTTACTACAAAAGAAACACAAGTCACATTTCTAATATTTTCCTTAATTTATTTTAGTATTTAAGGGCATTTTTGGCATTTGCATCTTTACTAAAGCAGAATGGAGTGGTCGTGCTGCCACCTCGGAAACCTCTTTGGACAAGGGTTTAGGTTATGTGGTAATTTATCATTCAGCTGGTGCCTATTTCAATACAACAGACACTTGTGGTTCTCAAATGCGCAATCAATTCACTGATATTGGCTATAATTACGTCATTGGTGGCGATGGCAACATATATGCAGGTTGTGGTGATGGCATTTTAGGTACTCATTCTCGTAATTGGAATAGTAAATCATATGGCATTATGTTTATTGGCAATTATAACAATTATACCGCCACTGCTGCACAAAATTACGAAAGCTAAGGAATTGATTCGTTGGTTGGTATTGGAGGGTTATGTTGCATTCAATTACACTTTATATGGTCATCGTCAGGTGCGTTCAACTGAGTGTCCGGGTAATAAGTTATATGATTAAATTATTTGGAAAGACATCTGAGTTTAAAAAGTTTATTTGAAATAAACAAGTTCAGTTCTAGTTCAGTTCTAGTTCAGTTCTAGTTCAGTTCTAGTTTAGTTCTAGTTCAGTTCTAGTTCAGTTCTAGTTCAGTTCTAGTTCAGTTCTAGTTCAGTTCTAGTTCAGTTCTAGTTCAGTTCTAGTTCAGTTCTAGTTCAGTTCTAGTTCAGTTCTAGTTCAGTTCTAGTTCAGTTCTAGTTCAGTTCTAGTTCAGTTCTAGTTCAGTTCTAGTTCAGTTCTAGTTCAGTTCTAGTTCAGTTCTAGTTCAGTTCTAGTTCAGTTCTAGTTCAGTTCTAGTTCAGTTCTAGTTCAGTTCTAGTTCAGTTCTAGTTCAGTTCTAGTTCAGTTCTAGTTCAGTTCTAGTTCAGTTCTAGTTCAGTTCTAGTTCAGTTCTAGTTCAGTTCTAGTTCAGTTCTAGTTCAGTTCTAGTTCAGTTCTAGTCAGTTCTAGTTCAGTTCTAGTTCAGTTCTAGGTCAGTTCTAATTCAGTTCCAGTTTATTCTCGAACGAGATCAAAAAATACTATTTTATACCTAGGAATGTTTATGAGAAATAATTACACAGCTACTTTGGCATTAATCAGTACAAACGATAATCAATTGACAACACTGATTTGATTACCGACTCATGAGAGAGTCTCATGCTTCAAACAAGCATTAAAGAGAGACCTGTTTAAGCTTAAATCAGAGATGGAAAATACACTATAATAATGTTTGCAAGAAAGGTTTTTTTTTATTAAATTAGGTATTGTATAAAATTACTTTTAAAAAAGAATCATCAAATGGTATAGAAAAGACATTATAAGAAAATTTGTTATTAATGTTACGTTTCTGTAAGTTTACCATCCCTGGTCAGAATGCATTAAACAGTGAGTGAAGAAATGAAAGGGAACGTAATAAAAATAAAATGAAAAAAACACAAATATTTTTATACTGTTGTTTACAAAAACACGCAGTAAATAATGTTTATTAGTTTTTTTTTTTCGCTGAGTATGAAAATAATATTTTTATTTCTTTAAACTGCATAATTCATTCATAAGTTGGAAAACAGTTATTTGCTTTAATGCTCAATACTCTGCGCGCAATTATTCATTCATTCAGTAATTTTATTGAAGTAAACAGGGAATTTGATAGTGTAAAAAATATCAATATACGACGATACGCTTAAATGGGTATGTTTTGTTTATTGTAATATTTTTTATAATGAATTATTAATTAGGTTTATTTAAAAAATATTTTATTATTAAATAATAACAAACTAAAAAATAGCATATATAGTAAAAATACTCCTAAACAAACAAAAAGAAAAATGCCAACATAAATCAATATTTAAATAAATAAACAAATGAATGAATTCTTTGTCAACAACGACAATTTGTTAGAGAAGAAAACTAAAAAAATATCAAAAAAAAAAAAACGAACATGCTAAAAACTATAAATAATCAAATGTTAATGAGAAACAAATATAAACATGTTTATTTTATCGTATTTGTTGTTGTATTTAGATATTTTTAAAATAAACAATATCAATTTAATTTAAAAATAGATTTTGCTTAAAAAAAATTAAGAGTTTTATTTATTTTTTGATTTGTACACCCCCCGACAATAAAACAAAAGTGATTTTCTTTCAATATAAATTTACACCTTTAACCAGTTAAATGATGATATTAATTTATAAAATATGTGTTTTTATATTGTTGCTATTTAAAAAATTGTCTGGCATTTGATTTTTAAACTGGTATTAATAAATAATGAGTGAGTGAGTCACTCTAATCGAATTAAAACAAAAACTACTGATATTAGTTTATTACAATATATCAATAAAAATCCCATTTATGTATGTTAACAGAGAGAAAATTTGAAAAAAGTGAATAAAATAGAAAGAAAAAGATAGTGAGAGTAAAAGCTTTAAGTGCAAAAATGTGTTTTCTAATGTTTGCCAAGGTTGCCAGGTGTCGGGATTTTCCGCTCAAAATTAGAGCTTTTTAGCCTAGAGATACATAGACTAAGACTGTAGACTTTATTATGTAGACTTAACTATGGGACTAGATTATAAACTAGGCTATATACTAGACTTAGCTTTAGACTAGACTAAAACTAGCACTATAGAACTCGACTTTAGACTATAGAGTAGACTTACAGACTAGAGACTAGAGTTTAAGATTATGTAGACTAGACTTCAGAATTATAGACTAGACTATAGACTAGACTATAGACTAGACTAATAGACTAGACTATACTAGACTATAGACTAGACTATAGACTAGACTATAGACTAGACTATAGACTAGACTATAGACTAGACTATAGACTAGACTATAGACTAGACTAGACTATAGACTAGACTATAGACTAGACTATAGACTAGACTATAGACTAGACTATAGACTAGACTATAGACTAGACTATAGACTAGACTATAGACTAGACTATAGACTAGACTATAGACTAGACTATAGACTAGACTATAGACTAGACTATAGACTAGACTATAGACTAGACTATAGACTAGACTATAGACTAGACTATAGACTAGACTATAGACTAGACTAGACTATAGACTAGACTATAGACTAGACTATAGACTAGACTAGACTATAGACTAGACTATAGACTAGACTATAGACTAGACTATAGGCTAGACTATAGACTAGACTATAGACTAGACTATAGACTAGACTATAGACTAGACTATAGACTAGACTATTATTACACTGGTTTTGTATGAACATAAAGATCTCGGTTTCTATTCTTTGCCAAAGCCGATCATTGTTTTAAATTGTTTAAATTTCTTTTGCATTTTAATGTTTTATTTATTTATCTTTTTCCTAGTTGTTATTGCTATTTTGTCACACAAATAACAAATCATAGAAGGGCAAGTGTATTAAATGTATGAGATATTTGTGTAAATTAATTACATTCTGAAATTATAATCAGACATCGGGGAAGTACTTAAAAAGGGTGCAAAGTGTGTTAATCAGTGGTACAAACCAGTGCCAACAAAAACATCACTCAAAATGTAAATCCCATCAAATATATTGAATTTTTTTGATTTTTAAATTAAGTAGAACATTTTAATTTTGATGGCTCTTTGTTGCTCTGTTTACTTTTAAGTTTAGTTTTATTTTAATTGTTTACTTTTTAAATGGGCGGATGGACACTATGAATTCGCTTAACACGTTGAACCCATTTTTTGCATAGAAATTTTGTTAGACTTTGTTTATTTTTGTGATTTATTATTGTTAATTATTTATATTAAATCAACACTTTTCGAAAAAAAAAACAAACATGACATCACACTTTACCAAGCATAAAATTTGTAAATTATTTGAACTTTTATTTCCTCCATTATAATTATAATTGTTTGTTATTAAAAAATTATTTTGTCTAATTTTTGCTGCTTCATCGAGGGGATTTACCTTCGAACAGGTCAAACAAATTTAGGATTTTTAATAATTTTTTTTTTGTCCTATTTATTAAGTGGAAGCAAATAAACTAAACCTGATTTAAAGCAGATTGTCGCTATAAAGAAATTTGGTTTTTTAAATTGAGTTGTTTTTGCTTTTAACTTGCCCAAACAACAAATAAATTTATCTTAAAATCTTTCATCTCACTAAATATGTGAAGGATTTTTTGTTTCGAAATTAATTTGTTACTGCCATTCGATAAAGTTATGAAATAAAAGTGGAGAAAAGAATGTTTATTTATGATATAATCTATAGACTAATCTATACTATAGTCTATAGTCTAGTCTACACTCTAGTATCTAGTCAATAGTCTAATCTATAGTCTAGTCTTGTCTAGTCTAAAGTCTAGACTTGTCTAGTCCAAAGTCTAGTCTATAGTCTAGTCTAAAGTCTAGTCTACTCTATAGTTTAGTCTAAAGTCTAGTCTACTCTATAGTTTAGTCTAAAGTCTAGTCTACTCTATAGTCTAGTCTACTCTATAGTCTAGTCTATAGTCTAGTCTATAGTGTAGTCTGTAGTCTAGTATATAGTCTAGTCTATAGTCTAGTCTATAGTCTAGTCTATAGTCTAGTCTATAGTCTAGTCTATAGTCTAGTCTATAGTCTAGTCTATAGTCTAGTCTAGTCTATAGTCTAGTCTATAGTCTAGTCTATAGTCTAGTCTATAGTCTAGTCTATAGTCTAGTCTATAGTCTAGTCTATAGTCTAGTCTATAGTCTAGTCTATAGTCTAGTCTATAGTCTAGTCTATAGTCTAGTCTATAGTCTAGTCTATAGTCTAGTCTATAGTCTAGTCTATAGTCTAGTCTATAGTCTAGTCTATAGTCTAGTCTATAGTCTAGTCTATAGTCTAGTCTATAGTCTAGTCTATAGTCTAGTCTATAGTCTAGTCTATAGTCTAGTCTATAGTCTATAGTCTAGTCTATAGTCTAGTCTATAGTCTAGTCTATAGTCTAGTCTATAGTCTAGTCTATAGTCTAGTCTATAGTCTAGTCTATAGTCTAGTCTATAGTCTAGTCTAGTCTATAGTCTAGTCTATAGTCTAGTCTATAGTCTAGTCTAGTCTATAGTCTAGTCTATAGTCTAGTCTATAGTCTAGTCTATAGTCTAGTCTATAGTCTAGTCTATAGTCTAGTCTATAGTCTAGTCTATAGTCTAGTCTATAGTCTAGTCTATAGTCTAGTCTATAGTGTAGTCTGTAGTCTAGTCTATAGTCTAGTCTATAGTCTAGTCTATAGTCTAGTCTATAGTCTAGTCTATAGTCTAGTCTATAGTGTAGTCTGTAGTCTAGTCTATAGTCTAGTCTATAGTCTAGTCTATAGTCTAGTCTATAGTCTAGTCTATAGTCTAGTCTATATTCTAGTCTATAGTCTAGTCTATAGTCTAGACTATAGTCTAGACTAGTCTAGTCTATAGTCAAGTCTATAGTCTAGTCTATAGTCTAGTCTATAGTCTAGTCTATAGTCTAGTCTATAGTCTAGTCTATAGTCTAGTCTATAGTCAAGTCTATAGTCTAGTCTATAGTCTAGTCTATAGTCTAGTCTATAGTCTAGTCTATAGTCTAGTCTATAGTCTAGTCTATAGTCTAGTCTATAGTCTAGTCTATAGTCTAGTCTATAGTCTAGTCTATAGTCTAGTCTATAGTCTAGTCTATAGTCTAGTCTATAGTCTAGTCTATAGTCTAGTCTATAGTCTAGTCTATAGTCTAGTCTATAGTCTAGTCTATAGTCTAGTCTATAGTCTAGTCTATAGTCTAGTCTATAGTCTAGTCTATAGTCTAGTCTATAGTCTAGTCTATAGTCTAGTCTATAGTCTAGTCTATAGTCTAGTCTATAGTCTAGTCTATAGTCTAGTCTATAGTCTAGTCTAGTCTAGTCTATAGTCTAGTCTATAGTCTAGTCTATAGTCTAGTCTATAGTCTAGTCTATAGTCTAGTCTATAGTCTAGTCTATAGTCTAGTCTATAGTCTAGTCTATAGTCTAGTCTATAGTCTAGTCTATAGTCTAGTCTATAGTCTAGTCTATAGTCTAGTCTATAGTCTAGTCTATAGTCTAGTCTATAGTCTAGTCTATAGTCTAGTCTATAGTCTAGTCTATAGTCTAGTCTATAGTCTAGTCTATAGTCTAGTCTATAGTCTAGTCTATAGTCTAGTCTATAGTCTAGTCTATAGTCTAGTCTATAGTCTAGTCTATAGTCTAGTCTATAGTCTAGTCTATAGTCTAGTCTATAGTCTAGTCTATAGTCTAGTCTATAGTCTAGTCTATAGTCTAGTCTATAGTCTAGTCTATAGTCTAGTCTATAGTCTAGTCTATAGTCTAGTCTATAGTCTAGTCTATAGTCTAGTCTATAGTCTAGTCTATAGTCTAGTCTATAGTCTAGTCTATAGTCTAGTCTATAGTCTAGTCTATAGTCTAGTCTATAGTCCTAGTCTATAGTCTAGTCTATAGTCTAGTCTATAGTCTAGTCTATAGTCTAGTCTATAGTCTAGTCTATAGTCTAGTCTATAGTCTAGTCTATAGTCTAGTCTATAGTCTAGTCTATAGTCTAGTCTATAGTCTAGTCTATAGTCTAGTCTATAGTCTAGTCTATAGTCTAGTCTATAGTCTAGTCTATAGTCTAGTCTATAGTCTAGTCTATAGTCTAGTCTATAGTCTAGTCTATAGTCTAGTCTATAGTCTAGTCTATAGTCTAGTCTATAGTCTAGTCTATAGTCTAGTCTATAGTCTAGTCTATAGTCTAGTCTATAGTCTAGTCTATAGTCTAGTCTATAGTCTAGTCTATAGTCTAGTCTATAGTCTAGTCTATAGTCTAGTCTATAGTCTAGTCTATAGTCTAGTCTATAGTCTAGTCTATAGTCTAGTCTATAGTCTAGTCTATAGTCTAGTCTATAGTCTAGTCTATAGTCTAGTCTATAGTCTAGTCTATAGTCTAGTCTATAGTCTAGTCTATAGTCTAGTCTATAGTCTAGTCTATAGTCTAGTCTATAGTCTAGTCTATAGTCTAGTCTATAGTCTAGTCTATAGTCTAGTCTATAGTCTAGTCTATAGTCTAGTCTATAGTCTAGTCTATAGTCTAGTCTATAGTCTAGTCTATAGTCTAGTCTATAGTCTAATCTATAGTCTAGTCTATAGTCTAGTCTATAGTCTAGTTTATAGTCTAGTCTATAGTCTAGTCTATAGCCTAGTCTACAGTCTAGTCTATAGTCTAGTCTATAATATAGTCTATCTAGTATATAGTCTATAATCTAGTCTATCTAGTATATAGTATTGTGTATAGTCAAAAAGACAATTTAATTCAACTCATTAAAATGGCAACTTCATCCATTCAATTAACAAAAAACGTTAATTTGAAAATAGATTAATTCATTAACTTTGACATAAAGAACATTAATGTGAAAAAACGCAAAAACTTTAAAAAAAATAATGAATAATTATGACAAACAACACATGTTAGTAATAATTTTATTTTAAACACCTTTTAATCAAGAATGTTGGTAATTTTTTGCACTTAAATTAAAAATGAGTTTGAAAACTATATTTACAGCGTTTTTATACATTCAGTAGCAATGTAATTCCCACTACAACTGTTAAATGTAATTTAATGAATGAATGACTGAATGAATTGTTCTGCATGAACAAAATCAAGCAGAGGCTAACAAATACGTTCAAGCAAATAACAAGCGATGGCGCACCAATAAATAATAAATTAATTAATAAATTTTATATGTAACAACAACAACAATTAACTATATAAAAGCGCGAAAACAACCAATGACTATGGGAATTAAAACCAAGCAAAAAAGGTAAACATTATACAATATAAATATATAAATTTCCGACTCAGACCAAACACTCAACTTCCGAATTCGCAAGCTAACAGAGTGTATTACTTTTTTGGCTCTACACTCTAAACAATTTACTCTAACTTAAAGCAAATACTACTCAGAGTCAAGTAGTCCAAAACTGTGCGGTATTTTTTTTTTTTTTTCAAGTTGTTTTCATTTTGGTTCGTTCCCAAACACCTTACTTAGGAGAGAAGTGTGAGAGTATTTTTAATGTTTCTGGTTTCCGATGATTTTTTTTTATATTTTATTCCTTCTTTCACGACCACAATTGATTAGTTGTGTTTAACAAATCAAAATAATAACAATAATAATCTACTTATAATAAAAATGAAATGAATATGTGAATTTATAAAAAAAAAAAAAAAAATAATTATAAAAAAACATAAAATAAAAATTGTTATAAATAAAAAAATAATCAAAAATACTTGTTCAATAGTACAAAAACTATAAAATACAACAAAATTCTTGCCAATTTTTCTTGAATTAAAGTTCCTAAATAAATTTCTTATCAGTTAAAGAAAAAGCTAAAACAAAAGTTCCTATTATAAAACAAAAAACTACAACAACAAAAAGTATTTATTTCAAAAAATAAAAAAACTTTCAAAAATCAACAACATAACAAATTAGAAAAAAAAAGAAATTAGAAAAATTATCAAGCAAATATAACATGACAGCTTTCGGTTTAGTTCTGTTATCAATGATGGGTAAGTTGACTTATCAAATGTTTTTTAACATTTTCATTAATTGTATTATTTTTTTATAAAAAAATAATTCAACACGCCATGTATAAGTTGTCATAATTCCGGTTTGCTTATAAATGTTAGAACTAACTTTCCTATAGAGTGATGTACTAACAAAGAACTAGTGTAGTAAGTAGTTCTTTAGTTATAGCTAAGTATCACTTTTATCACACAATGTCCTAAAGGGAAGAAATTTACTTTTATTAAGTCCCTTAGTGGGCAAAATCGAAATAAATCTGCCATCTTATGAACTTCGGTTCTGATCGAAAGGAAATATTACTTAGTCGTAGCCAAGGAGTTTTCGATTGTAAGTTTTCAAGATGGACCTCACAAACCTACCAATGATGGCGCAGTAGAAACTCTAGTTTTTACTCGGCTTTAGAGATTTTTATATTTTCTGAAAGTCCTCGACTAGGTCTTACGCGAACTATTAATTTCTTTTATTTTATTTTCAAAAAATGTCCATACTCTGGTTGGTTTTTTTTTAATATCAGACAGAAATTTAGACCCATTTTCCTAAAATTTCTTTAAACTCAATTTTTAAAACCTCAATTATTTTCTGAACACTTAATGAAAATGTCCATAGATATTATGAATTTTTTCTCTGAGGGCCGAAATAACAAAAATCTCAAAATTGTTAATTTTTATTAGTTTTTGGTTAATTCTTTGATTTATGAAAAATTTCATGTAATGTATAAAATTTTTTTCTTCAAATTTATGAAAATTTTCATAAATATTATGATTGTTTTCCTTTGTGGTCTAAAATAACAAAAATATCATTCAATTTCCAACATTATAGTTAAAGACTAAATTTGTTTGAAAAAATTGAACGTAAAGTTGGTTATAAAATCAAAATCGGATACAGTCAATCATAGCGATACCGTAAACTTCAATTACAATATTTTTAATAGTTCTTTCGGCCGATAAAATAAAAAACAAGCAGTCAGATTTATGTATAAACTTTTTATAAATTTAGTGAAAAAAATCCCTGATATCAAAAGGTCATATTGTTTTTTATAACTTATCAAAAAATAAAAATCCCCAATTACCAATATAAAACGAAAGCCAATGACAAAAATATATTCAGGCCACATAAAACTAGGGAATACCCGGCAGTTCACCAGGGAGTTAATGTAATTCTTTTTAAACAGAAATTTTGCCAAAAGATTTAATTAATTGGTGGATTTTTGAATAATTTGTTATCGATTGATTATCACAAAAGCGGGTCCAAATAAAGGGAAATCGATTAAAGTTTTAGTGTTCCCCAGTAACTAGGGGAGTAATCAATTGATACTTTAGTGTCCCTTAGTAATATAGAAAGACATTTTAATCTCTTTCAATAAGCACTTAGTAACCAAGTGGGTATTCAATTGACACATTATTGTCCCCTGGTAGTCATAAGGGTAATCAATTGACAGTTTAGTTTTTCTAAGTTATATGGAGAGCGGTACTTTGAACCGTTTTTTTAGCTACCTTAGAAAGTGTTTATTGATTCCACAAAATGTCTCTTTGCAAATAAACACTAAGGGGTCAATTGTCTCCCCAAGTAGTCACTTATTATGCTGTAATATACGTTCATATTAAGATTAACTCTTTTTATCGGCAATAGTTTTTCTTTTTATTTAATTTTACTGCTAATCAAGGAATATTTTAAACTAGTTGTTTCCAACTAGTTCCATAAAGAACTGTCGGGTACCTACATAGTTCTCAACACAGATACATATACATTTAAACCTAAAAAATTGCATTTCATGTAATAACCACAAAAGACCATTAATTTTTGGCATTAAAACAATTTATAACCTTTATAAATGAAAAAAAGTACAAAAATTCAAAGAGAGATAACAAATATTAAAGCGCCAAAAACCTTTATAGAAATTTTTGAAAAAAAAAATTAATTGTTAATAAAACAAATATTATTATAAAAAATAAAAATTTGTATAAAAACAAGAATTATTAAAAATTAAAGCGGTTCTTTTTTAGCTATTTGTTTTTATTTTGCATTATTAAATAATTGACTAACTTTATTGTTGTTATTATTTAACAAAGTTATTAAATTAAATTATTTGCAAAAAAAAATTAATTAAACTAGACAGGCAAATTGCGAGATTTATTTGTTAAAAACAGAAAACATTTTAGAAATTTGTTAGAAAGAAATTTGTTATTTTACATGAAGATTGACTATTAAGGGAAACATTATTAATTAATTAAATGTCAAAATTAATTAGAAATATTAGTTGTCATTTGTGAGAAATATTAGATTTTAAAGTTATATTTATTTTGTGCTCAAAAATAAGTGATTTTTCCTAGGCTTCAAAATAAATTTAATAGTTAATTAATTATTTTATGTTTTTGTTTTAAATAAATATTTTTTTCTTTTTATTTCGTTTTACTGGACATTTAATAAATTGACTAAGATTTCCACAGATATAATGATATCTTACAATTTATTAATGGGAATCGACAGTGGTCCTAATCGTTGTTTTTACACTAAAGTTTTTTTTTCTTTTTATTTCGTTTTACTGTAAATCAAATAATATTAGTAATAATTTCGTCAGGAAATCTGAAAAACTTAACTAAGAGAACGGGAGAGAAATCGGATTTACAACCTTTTAAAAACAAGATTTTTTTTTGCAAACTAATATTAATTGATAAGAGAAATAAGAGGGGAGGAAAACCTTATAAAAAACAATCAAAAATTCCAAAGAACTTTAAAAAACTAAACCAAAACTTTTCAACTTCTAGTCTTTATTCAATAGTGAGAGGAAAGAGAATTCAGAAAAAAGCATTAATAAAAATATTTTATAGCTATGTTAAATTTATTTTGTTTAAACAAAAATTTGTTAAACTAAACTATTAAAACAAAAAAAAATCACCTTGAAAACTAGTACTTTAAACTAATAAAATAATCTATACATTTGATGTTAACACTAAAATATTTCCCCCCAAAAAAAACAGTTCATTAAACTCTACAATATCTTTTTTAAATATTAAAAAACAAACAAGACTAAATAAATACATAAAAGATAAAAAACATAATAGTCTATAAAATTTCAAAGAAAATCAGATATAAAATTTGAAATTAATTTTCTTGAAATAAAAACAAATTCTAAATTAAAGATAAAACACATGTTTAAACTTGACCCTTTGGGTTAATAACCGTTTGATAAAATTTTCAAACTTTTTTTTTTAAGTGCAGTATTTGTAAGTATGTACTTAAATGTTATATTTGAAAAAAAAATTTTGCAGCAATCTATTTGATTTATACAAAATATGTACATACTTTTTAAAGTAGTTGAAGTGTTTGTTTTGTTATATATTTTTCGATCGTACATATGTTTGTATGTAGTTTATTTTGTATATATTGTAGTCAGTAAGTAGTAGTAATATTTAACTTACTTCTTATCAATCAACAAATACTTAAATAAATTATATGCATAATAACAAATACATATAGGTATATTTGGAAAATGTTGTTGGTACTTATTGTATTCCAGTGGAATTTATTATTTACAAATCTTTTTAATGCAATTTTATTGACATTTTCTTCAAATTGAATTTTATTTAATGATTCTTGTTATGCACTGAAAAAAATCCATGCCTAATACATACGAAAAATGTCGTACATTGTACGAATCTTTCGTTGTTTTTTACCACGAAATTCTTTCGTAATATATACGAAATTGTACGAAATATTTTAGTATAATACAAAATAATCTTGGAAAAATTAATTTACATAAATTGAAAAAAGTGAATTTTGAATAAATGTGGTAAAAATTACGAAATATTAATTTATGCAAACAATTTTGTTCATTTTAAAATAATTTTTCTAATTTTAGTTCAAAATTATTCTCCACACGAATTTTTAATTTTTTTTTTTATGAAAATAGTTCGTCAATTATATTATACTTCTTAAATTTTATAAAAATGTTGTAATTTTGTTTAATATTAATATACTTAATATCATTATGTTTAATTTCGCTAAAATTTAAGAAAAAAATATTACGAAAGGTTTTCGTAAAAATAGAAAAGGTTTTATTAGGTAATATTTCGTATTATACACGAAATTTTTGTAAATATTACGAAAATATAAGTTACGAAATTTTTTTTCGTAAAGTTGAGCATGGATTATTTTCAGTGTGGAGATTAATTTATGTATGTATTATGTTATTTTTAATGATATGCAAATTTATTTGCAATTGATTTCATTTTCTTTATACTTCATTACTTGCGATGATATTTAAATTAATAAGCTGTTATTTATTGAAAATAATTTTTTTTTAATGGAAATTTTGTAATCTATTCATGAATAAATAGTTAAACTTTCAATTTAACTTGTTACATATTGTTCTAAGAATCACAAATATTCGAAAATTCCGAACATCGGACCAAAATTACCGCAACCACGTTTAAATGAATTTTTAAACTTTACTGTTTAAAAGATAGTTTTTATATGAAACCCAGAGACCAAAGTATACAGTTCTAAAGGAGCTGCACTGAATCCAATTCGTTTTTAAGAATTTTACCAAAATATCAGGTTTTAAAGATATCATGCCTTATCGTAACTTAAGATAAAAGTTTAATCTCTGTTGTATCTTCTCCCTTTTTTGTGATATATTAACCTAAATTTTGAAACAACCAAATAACTTCTCGAAATTCTGATGTGAATGATAAATTCTGAGATTCCAGATTCGGATTTAGCTTAATTCTTTAGAAATATAAACTTCGGTCTCAGGTTTAAAGAATTATTCTTCTGTGTTTTATTAGAAGGCTAAAGTGAAGCTTATTACATTATTTATGAAACAACTCCGATATTCCGGAAAGGACTTGATAAAATCGTCGACCAATATTTGCTCTAGTTTAGATTCGATCATACTTTCAATAGACATATCGCTGGATAAATGGGCATTAGTATTCGGATTTAACTTAATCCTTTATAAATATATACATACTTCGATCACAGG